AAATTTGTAGTTCAACAACAACCTCATTAAATTTTTCATTTAAGCCAAAGTTTCCCAATTATTGCTTTACCCTGTATAATTATTATTTATACCATTTAATAGCATCTTTTATAGTATTTTCAATGAATTATCACAAGTAGGGTTTTGCAATTTAAACTTTTTTATTTGTGGTGGGTGGGGCCTAGGGGGTTGGTGGGGGGTGAGTTCTCTTTCATGTCATTTTAGTTCTCCCTTACTATCCTAGAAATGGTTTTAAGCATTTTTCGATATCATCTTTTGTTCCTGAGATATAGCCCATTATAAGTTTTAAAATTGATACACTGTATAGTACACACAGCATTTTTAATATACAGATTGAACGAAATAAATTCGGAACATACAAAATATTATGTATTTCGGCTCAATTTTGCCGTAGGTGGTTGGCCAACAAAAGGTTGTCAAATAATTATATTATAAAAATCCAATACTTCAGCGGGCTCCTGGATTCTGAAATCATAAAAATTGAAAGCTACACAAATCTACGATTTTATTATGCTGTCAAACCACTTAGACAAGCCCTTCTTTGAGCGGTGTTGCCAACCTCATTCCTTTACATGTGTCTCAAATAAGGTGTTATCCATAAAATATTTGCAAGAAAAAAAGAAAATAACTACAAACCGTTAAGTTTATTTTTGTTATTAGTCTGTTGTAGTAGATTGGTAAATACAATGAAAAATATAGGCAAATATCCGATTTATTTAAAGATACGAAGAAGATAACTCTCAAAAAGATCCGCAAATCGGATTATTACATGGCGATTGGCAACATTGTTACGCAAACAACATTGTTGCGAGACAGATAGTTGAACGATGGTTTATACAATGTCTAAATCAGGGTATGGATTTATTTTTGTCCAAGTTTTATATTGGTCTACTATTTCAAATGCAGTTCAAACAGACATATATTAAATTGTATGATCCATTTTAAATTCGTTCAATCTGTATTTTAGCCGTACTTTATGACGGGACTAGTTGTAAATTAAAATATTCAAATTTGAAAATTTCTGAGAATTCATGTTTAATTAATAAAGTTGTCTACTTTACAGTATCTGTATGGACGGACTACATACAAAATGTTAATAATACAGAAACTAGACCTGATACAAGATTGACGATAAGATTGCATTACAGCTCATTTTCTTTGTGCAGAATTTTATGAATTTTACTTATTGCGAAGGTTACCGGTACTTTATTGTAAACACTACGTTTTTGTCACCCCAATCTAGAGTGTATGTATGTTGCAATAGCGTAGACTTGTATTGGTCCATCAAACATGCAAGTAAATTTATTTTTTATTACTCTTTTTCTTAACGATTTATCATCGTGTCTTGGTCATCATCAAAAAGCATTTATGCTTGAGACTTCTCTGAGGGACTATCATCGATTTTGGCATCTTAATATTACATCTGTAAAATTTGGATCTAATACTTTTTATTTCCCTCAAAAATGCCTTATACATCAACGTCACGTGACTCAGTTATAGGTTTTTATGGCTTCTATTAAATAGACAAAAAACTTGTAACATTTTGGCATCTTAATATTACATCTGTCAAATTTTGATCTATTACTTCTTGTTTCCCTCAAAAGTGACTTATTCATCAACGTCACGTGACTCAGTTATTAGGTTTCTATGGCTTCTATTAAATAGACAAAATATTTTTTTTTATTTTATAATCAAATAACAAGGACAACATATTATTTGCATTACTATCAGTTATTAACATTATTCACATCTTTATCATTTTTTTTAATAACAGGCGACTTCTTTATCTTTTTACAAGTTTCTTTAAAAAGTAGTGCATTATTAATTCTTATCAATACTAAAACCTACGAGTTTTAGCTATACGAACAATACAAAATTGTATATAAACAATATTTAATTTTATACAGGGAGAAATCGACGTAATAGAAGTATATATCTACAGATTACACAGAGCAACCATGTCTGTTAATTTCCTACCTGGTTTTTCTCTGCTTTTTATCTTATTTCTTTCAATAAGTTGACCCAAGACCATTATTTGTATAATTTGTTGTCATTTATTTTTTTATAGTTGCTACTTTGATAGTGTCCTTAGTGTGTGAACCTACACTCTATCATTTTGGCATCAGTTGAAGCCGCATCTAGACTTCCTCTTATATTTGAATTTTTAATTTTGGCTTTTTTGTCTCTATTCATTAATATGGAAATTCTCACCTGCAATATAAATTCGTTGTTTTTCTTTCTTTTGTATATGCCCATCATTCACTTTCGATCATTATAGCTCACCACAGAACTTCTCAATAAAATTATTTTATGCATATATGGTTGTATTGAAGATTGCATCTGTTATTGATCTGAAATGCAAACTAGTTTTCGGATATTTCTTTTTACGTATACGCCTATCAATTAACCCTTTTTTGTATGAGCTCCAACATTTTAACACCTTGCTACAATATATTTAATCGACCAAGAATATCCATGTTTGGATATATACCTCCCTCTCTTTCTCCCTCTGCTTTGTATCTTCAAGGACGAGATTATTGGGTTGGGATGATATTAGTGTGTGTTCTTGCCGCCTTTACAATCCTTGCTTCTCGTCTTCTTCAATTCTAGTACCAAGCCTGCCGCCAACATACAAGCTCCATTGGCAACAAACGGTTTCTCTCAGATTGTTGGGCCTTTTTCTTTTTTGTGTTTAAACGCATGGAGGTTAGCTGTGGCTATATCATCACCTAGGATCAGGTATCATTGTGCAATGAGATTGGGAAACCAGAGAAAGCCAATCTCCCACCACCCTTGTAGTTTGAATGCGACTCTTAAGAAGTGTACGCGTATGCTCACTTTAATGTATTTATTAGTGTTCTTGTGTGTTTTCGGTGTACTTGTTATTTTTGTAAATGTTTAGTAATGTTGTTTTTAATGAGTTTTGTGTAAGTGTGGATTTGAGTGAGTGTTATAAGGATACATAAAATATATATGTGGTGTGTTTTGAGTGAGTTGTGTAGTTTTATGTGTGTACTTGTGTGAAGGTTTGGTTTATGGTTTATAGGAGGATGTATGGCATACCCATATAATAAATTGTACATTTGGTTGAGGTATCGGGCAGTGTTGTTCCTCTTTTCAGGGAATACATTTAAAAAGATCATAAATCTGAAATGGATGAGGGATTACATTTCCGAGGAAAGGTTGTTAGTTGCGTGTTTGCGTGTGTTTACGGGTTGTGTCTGTCATCTTAGTGAAAATGCCGGGTGTTTTCTGTTATAGTTGGGACATTTGGAGACATTTGTCGTAGGGCATGTAATGGACCTGTGTTGTTGTAAAACGGACAAAACATTGACTTTCCGATGCATTCGTTGCTGAGATGTCCGCTTTTTACAACATAAACAGTATTTTAGTCGATTTGAAACGGAATTGTTAGATCTTTCAATATCGCAATTCAATCGTTTGCTTTCTCGCCTTTGATCCTGATACCATTCAGGAGCAAATTAACAAACTTGCTTTCTTGCGAACTTTCATAATTTGTGAAAACTCTGATGAAGGAGGGGGATAGTTAGTATAACGGGCAGTTATACGAAATATTTTGAAGAATGTGCAGTTGTTTTCGGATAGATTATTCTCGACGTCTATCTGGTAGATTTTTGTCAATGCCGGCAATGAATAAGTGTGGAAATTTTGTTGATGTGTGGGAGCGAGATAAGAATTGTTAGGGGTGTGAGACTTGTTTTTGCGCCTAAGGTTTATAGAGATACCTATATCTCCAGTGACGTGATGAAGTTTTGCCGTGAGATTTTTGAGGTCTAAAAAGTGGATAGTTCGTAAGGAAGCTGCTTCTGGCCTGAGAAATCTTTTAGTTAGTCGAAGTTTTTGAAGAGATTGTTGGTTTTGATAAGAGTGGTCTCTGCCGACAAATGTTTTGGGGAATGTCCTCTATTCTGTAGTGTTAGATGTTGTGTATTGTATGGTTTGTTGTTCGATAGGTTAGACTTTTAGGGAGTATGAGTAAGGGATGTTTCCGAGAAGGTTATGTTTTTTGAGGACTCTGGCGAATTTTTTTGTACTGGAAAATTTTTGAGGGATTAGTGTAATGTAGTATTTGTGTGTGTGTTGTATTTGTTCTACTGCGTTGTTTTACTGTGTTATCGAGGAATGAATTGGATTGGTTAAGGGAGAATGTGTTTGTTCGGTTGTGTGTGGCTTTTACGTCTTCTATAATACCTATGATGTGTTTACGGGCTAAGTATCGCTGTTGGTAGTATATTTCCTTGATTCCTTGCATCCAGCCTGTTTTGTCTGTGATTCGTGTCCATCGACGGTGATTCCATCGTGTTTATCATTCTTTATCTTGGACTTTTTAAATCCATTCCTGTCTAACTTTTGCAGTATGTCATCGGACCAGTTTCATGGTCTCCAATGTATAATTATTTTGGTCAATTTGAATACTTCTTTTTATTACTTACTATACTTGGTTTTATTACGAATCCAATTTATTTTTCTAGACAGTTTATTATTCAACATTTGCCTTTCCATAGACCGTTGATTTTTGCTTAGAATCCTTGTTTTTGATACTGGTATTTCTTGTTCTTTTGTTTAAGAGATACCAAATGCTGCCCAAGCAAGTCTTCTACTTCTTTTTATTTATTTAGATTAGTTTCTTTATTTAGTTTTCTGATTTGCCCCAGGTATATGTATTAAGTTGGTTGTTATATATCTGTTCATTCTACTGTGATTTTAAGGTCTTTTTGCTTTGTCATGTTCGTGTTTTCTCAAATTCCGTTTTTTTGCTGCATGTAAGTTCAATGTCGTCAGCTTGTGACAAGTGGTTGAATTATTGTTTGTTTATGTCAAGACCTTAGTTCCAGTCTAGCTTTTTAAAGATGTCTTCGAGTACTAAGGGATTTTTGGATTTGTTCCATAAATTTACAATGGTTTTAATTATTCTCGATAATAATCAACATTTATAATAATATCTTATATCATTTTAGGTATCCGACGAATCAAACAATGGCACTCCGAAGGATTCCATTCCTAACGGCCTCCCCAACGGTATAAAAACTAACCCGCGAAATCAAGAGAAAACTAAAGAAGATTTGATCAGAAGCGTCCAGTTTATGGATGTCAACGACATCCTGGAGATCGTCACTGAAGAAGCGACTTTACAAAGTATCAAAACACTCAGCGATTGGCTTCTCAGCGACCTGGACGTCCTCAAATCGTGCGGATCGAATTCCGCTAGTCTTTTAAGGCAGATAACTTATTTGTTAAATTTGGTCAATATAAATTTGGCTAGTCCGAAGATGATTGGAGTTCGTCTGAAGTCATCGGAGGTTATTAGCAAGGGAATTAAGATTCCATTGTCTGAGGATACTGTGCTTAAAGGTAATGATTCTACATATTTCTGTCTTAACAGGTATGAACATCCCCTTTGGATATAGGTATCTTCTCCATATCATTATATCCTTGCACTATGAGTGAGTGCCTTCTAATCCAGTTTCTTAAACATTTCGGCGAAATATCATTCATCTTTATCGATCCGCTATACTTGAGCTTTGTGTATAAACTAAGCTGTTTCATTAGATGTCTGCATGTTGTCTTTTCTCAAATGAAGATAAGTGGTGGTCAGGGTTGGACTATTCAGTGACTTCTGTACACCTCTGGGTGTCATGAGGCTTCTTTGTGCTTCATTTCTTGTTCTTGATTTGTTTGTGGGTAGGAAATCATTAGTTAAGAAAACTCAACAACAAAATCCACAATAAGAAACGTACTAATAAACCTAACAAAGTTCAACCTTCTACACCACTTGACCCCGCACCAGTTATATTCTTCGCTTGAGAAGACAATATGTAGGCACATCACAAAACAGCTTAGTTTATATGTAAACTCATACACTACGTATTGACAATGACGAATATTTTGTCGAAATTATTACGAACTTTTTCTACCAATAGGAAAAGAACAGTTTCTGTTCAATCTATATTTTAATTTATTTATGAGGTTATTTACCTTTCGCTAAAAATTAGATCATTTGCAAAATACTATAACACTAACAATAATTTCATAATGCGAACATATGTATGTAAGCACCTCGGGCAAAAGGAACAAGTTGTTTGCCTTTTTGACGAATTGTTGTTTTATATTGTGAGCTTTTATAGTGGAGTTGAACTTTTTGTGTACTTATATTGTGTACGTAGTTTATCACAATATTTACCTTTGAGAATACGTTTAGTCATTTTGAAGTTACGTTAAGTGGACGTACCTATTTTGAGCTACCATAAAATCATTTACTCCACAACATTACAACCCTTAATATATATAATCCACATTGGTTTCAAGAATGTCATACAGAAGTGTCACAAAAAAATTTTAATGTTTGGGCTGAGATTGTTGGACATGGATAGTTGGCCCATATTTTTTCGATGGCAATTTAAATGAAGATATTTACTTAGACTTTTTACGTTTTGTCTATCCCAGCCTAGCAGTCATGCTTCCAAATGAAAACTAAGGTAATGAAGACGATCCCCGCCTCATTTTATAGCAATGAATGCAGAATGATCAAGAAATATTTCCAAATCTATATATACGAGTTTATTGAACGAGAGTTTCATCGAAGTGCTGAAACAACTCGTTAGAGAAGACATTTTAAACTTCACTCCTACTATCATTCAGAATGTCACTGATAAATTCGAACATCGAATTGATTACTGCCAGATAGTTATTTTGAACATTTGATTTAATAAACTGTATTTCCTATATTATTTGTCTTTGATTTGTTGTCATTTTTCTCTTAGTATATTATAAAAGATTTCTTTGAATATTTCATAATGTAATTATAGAAGGATAGCTAAATCCTATATCGTCGGATTTCTCTCTGAAAGGACTATTCGTCTATTTAATTAAATATAGGGTGTTCTATTAAAAAAACTGATAACGCCATAACTTCGACAAACAGAATAGAAAAAATGAGATGTGTAACAATCTACCAAAGTTTTTGTGTTTTTTTTTTCATACTCTTATCAGGAACAAAATTATGTGCTTTATTGATTACTTTTGGGACACATTGTAAGTATATTTTTTACCTTTTAATTGTTTTTAGGTATGGAAATACTGAAAGGTTCTCAGAACATATTAGACTGGACGTTCGTAGAGAAAAAAGGCTTAAGTCTGAAGGAAGAGGCTGTTATTAGGGTAGTGAAACTATTATCGTTTGGAAAATTTTTAACCACTGTATCAGAGACTGGAATAATTTATGAAGAAGACAGCAACATTTTCGTTTGCAACCTAAAGGAGACAAACGTGGAAGATGCAAAGAAGTCTACCTCTCTAATGGAAGAATTGGTAAGTAATGATACATAAACTTTTACGACATACTAGCTAGATTTGATTTATATAGGTAACTGTTAACTGCATTCAAATCTAAACCAATTTGTATAGCTTCATTAGAATACCTTAAAATTACATGGTCGTATGTGAAACAACTTATATCAACAGATTATTTAACACATTCCTTGTTACGTAGGTCCCACGGGGCAACAGTAGTATTGCATTTATGGACCGAGTTGGTCCCATGGGGCCAAAAACCTTGTTAAAGGCTTGTTAGGCTTCTGGTTCATATTTTTGTGCAATATCTCACGCTAAAGGGCCAACGTGGCCTAGAAGGCATAAACGGTAAGAATAGTTTATTTATTATTGAAAGAATTAACTTACGGTCCCAGTTAATTTATAGGAAGTGATAAAAATCAAAAATTCAAATTTTTAGTAGACTATATTTAGAAACTCTCTTATAGGACGTATAGGTTAGGTATAGTTATAAAGTTATAGGTAAGAAAAACTATTTGTGAACTATAACAGTCCTTATAGAAATGTGGCTTATTTTCACATATTTCAAAATATGTATTGACTTTTCTGGTTTTGTAGCAGTTCCTGTACATTTTTTTCTGCTATGCGTATTCCCTCTTTCTTCACTTTAATAACGTGGTTTGCTGTACATGTTGGTGTCTTACAGGCACATCTTTTAGCTTCCTCTGCTCTTATTACGTACTTGACCACATCTGTTTTGAAATCTGTTATGGATATAGCGTTTTGTGTTACCGGTTTATATAAAATATACCATGTACTAAAGATGTAGTTATCATAAATTCAAATTCCATTTTGTACATTTGCCCCTAATTGATGTGATAAATCTACGGCTACGATATCTTTATTCTAGTCCAGTACAATTTTAAGTTTGCTGATCGCAAGGCACTTCCCTCATTTGTTTCCATGTTTGTAGAAAGTATATGAATGTTCCTCTCATCTTCCCAATGGATAACTTTATCCTATACTTGAACCTTTTTGTTTTTATATACTGACGAAACTCTAGTCTCTCCCTAAATGGTACGAGAGTTTCGTCTATACCAGCGATACTCAATGTGTGTTCCGCGGAATCCTAGGTTTCCGCGATACCCCTGTAGGGGTTCCGCGAGAATTTAGAAAAAAAATTCAAAACACCTCTCTGGTCCACTGTTCTAATGCGGCGTAGCACGATTCACGAGGCGGGAGGCGCAGTCGAACTCAGTTGCCTCGTACAATTTTACTATGCCTGCCACTGCCCATATCTCTTGCGAGCGCGCAGTCCTCTATGACCGCGCCTCTACTCTTGACATTTTGACACTTAGTCAGTCGGCGATTAACGTTCGGAGCGATAAGTACCTACCTGCTATAAAAATATTTATAGAAATAAAGTGTTTATTGTTCTACTGCTGTATTCTGATTGTATCAGTTTTGTACACTCTATAGAAAAAAAGTGTTTATTCTACTGCTGTATTCTAGTTGTATCAGTTTTGTACATTTCTTTTTTGGACTTAACTGTTTTGCAGTAACGGTCGTGAGTTATTTTGTTGTTTTAACAAAGAAGAATGGAACGTTGGCTTAAAGTCGTTAAACGTGATGCAACAACATCTTCTACAGAAGGCGAATGTTAGAAAGCAGTACGCGCAGAGTATACAGCAATTAACGATCAAGACGATTATGCAAGACGTCAAGTTCCTCGGCTTCAAAGGCGAAAAAAAGGAAGTATGATGAATCATATATCAGTTTGGGATTTGTTTATTCCAACGGCTCACCTCTCTGCATTCTATGTAGCAAACTGTTTCCTAATAGTTCCATGGTACCTGCCAAAGTTGCGCCGACATTTAGAAACTGAACACCCCGAGTCTAAAGGTAAGAATAAAGAATGTTTTCTACGTAAAAAGGATCAGTTATTGTAAAGTAAAAAAAACTGTGATGCATGTAACTCAAACTATCAATGAAAAGGCCACAGAGGCATCATATTTAGTTAGCTATTGCATTGCAAAAGCAGGTGAAGCGCACAGTATCACTGAGAATTTAATAAAAATAAATATATTTTTTGAGGAAAATAATCTGAGTTGGAACAATTGCATTGGCATTTGTACATTGGGGCCAAGGCGATGACAGGTAATACAGCAGGACTAGTGTCACGAATAAAAAATAAAGCTCATAATTGTAGTTCCAGCCATTGTATCCTGCATAGACAAGCACTTGCGATGAAGCAAATGCCGTCAACTCTAAAATTAGTTATTAATGAAGCGGTAAAAATAATTAATTTTATCAAATCACGACCACTACAATCTCGATTGTTCTCATTATTGTGTGAAGATTATGGCAGCAAACATAAAACACTGCTGCTCCATACAGAAGTGCGATGGCTGTCTCGGGGTAAAACTTTAACAAGGCTATTTGAACTTGGAGCCGGGTTACAAATGTTTCTTTCAGATACTTCTTTTAATTTGAAAGACCGTTTGTATGATAACACTTGGTTGTTCCGACTTTCTTTTATGGCGGATATCTTTCAAAAACTGAACGATTTAAATTTATTATTGCAAGATAAACAGACAGCAGTGTTTCAGGCCTGTAAAAAAATAACTGCCTTCAAAAGAAAATTAGATTTTTGGATTATTTGCGTCGGAAAGAGTGAATTGGAACGCTTTATGTCACTCAGTGAGTTTGTTAGCGATAACGACGAACTGTTCCAAGATGATATATTTCAAGAATTGGTCAAATATCTCACTTCGATGCGTGCATCTTTTGAGAAGTATTTTCCCGAAGAACAGAACACAAAAATAAAAATGAAACCAGACATTATACGCTGTCCATTTACTTGAGTTTTATTCACATTATTGTAAATAACTTTGACTGCTACATGTCTTTTAAAGGTAACAATTAACATCGTTTCCATGATTGTGTGGTTCTCATATTGTACTTTTTAGATGAACTGATGATGCTTTCAAAACTCGAAAGCGAAACGTCTTCAAAATAGATATAGTAGCCTATCAACTTTGTCTTTTATTTCTCCACCTTGAGACCGATATAAGAACCCACCACTCGTCTGAGTGATCCTTATATATATTGGATTGACGCCCGTACTCCTTTTCCGAGATATATATATATATATATATATATATATATATATATATATATATATATATATATATATATATATATATATATATATATATATAATTGTATTTTTTTTATAACTAGTAAAATTTATATATTTTGAGAATATATCGTCATATATATACCCTGATATAAAAAAGGGTGAAATCGGGTAATGACTATAATTTTGCAGAAGTGTTTCCAATCTAAATGAGTCAACCAACAAAGCATTCCCAAAACAAATCGTAAGACAAGTTTTAGAAGAAATAAATAGTAGCATTTAGAAAATAAAGGAATTAATAATATGTAACAATAAAACACTGAAAACTTTGTTTTCAATCTTCCACAAAATTTATTTTAAACTCTTATCACTACAGCTGTTTCGGCTGATTGCCTTTCTCAAGTGATATATTTTTGGCATGCGTTTACACTTTATAGTCTTTAATGAAATAGGTTGAGGAGGGGAGAACTGTTTGTCTCAAGATGGTTATTCAGAATTATATCTGTGTTTTTTAATTTGTTGATTTCCATAGATTCTAACAAAGATAGCTTAAGGCCTTTATTTTCAATGTGAAGAATTTTAAATTCGTCATTAAAAGAATGACTATGATCTAGAAGGTGAAGTGCGTATGTAGAATCTGTTTTTCTATTATTGAAAGCCCTTTTATGTTCTGCTATTCGTTTATTAAAGTTTCTAACAGTTTGGCCGATGTAAATTTTTGGGCAGTCGCCACATTTAAGTTTGTACACACCACTGTGTAAGTGTAATCTAAAAAATTTATGGATTGATTTTGTTCTGTTTCTATTGTAAATTCAATATGACTATGAAATTAATTAATATACGATAAAAATTGGTCGAGTTGCCTGTTAGTTCCTGTGAAAAATACCAGTACGTCGTCTACGTATCTCCACCAATATAAAAACTGTGTGAATATGGGATGTTTCTTTATCTCTAGATGATCCATAAAAATATCTAATAGCAATGCGCTTAGAGGATTGCCCATTATAAGTCCAGCACTGTTATTTATGTATATTTGATTATTAATTCAAAGTAGTCCTGGTTTATGCAAATTTCAAGAAGATGTAAAATTTCAGATGTAATGATTGGATTTGTACTATTTTGGTCTAAAAGGTTTTTTACTAGAATAAAAGTTTCTGTAGGAGGAATACTAGGAAAAAGATTTTTTACGTCAAATGAAATTAATCTGGAGTTGTTAGGTAATTGAAAATGTTGTATTTTATTAACTATAACTAGTTCTATTGTATTTTTTATGCTAAATTTAGGTGAAAATTTAGTGTGTTCTAAAATAAAAATCTGTAGCAATATGTAAACACGATGTTTTCTATTGATTTATTTTAATTGAAATGGCTGTTTTATATTCTTTGTAACAGGAATTTTTGGTATCACTACACACATCTATAATAGATTTTGCCATTATACTTTTTTCGATATTGTTAGCAGTTTTGTTTAATGCTAATTCACGTTCTACACCTAAATATTCTAAAGTTTTCTGATTATGTTTGGACAAGAATTAATAATATCTAGAAAATTTTAATATTCTGAAAAACTGTGAACGTATTGACAGACAATTGAAAAAATACACCCTTTGGGTACACATTAAGAAGAAACACTTTACATAATTTAAAATTTTTTACAACAGTTATTTTTACCAGTTCAAATAAAACAATAAACCGGATGGTTTGTGTTACGTTTATGTCCCAGTTTCCCGAGACTCGCTCAATTAATACTCCAATTATTTTTCAGTCAGAAAGAATAAAAAATATGAATACCGTCTCAATTCGCGGCAATGCGAATTATTCTAATGAATATCATTGTGATAAGCTCGTGAAATATTTCCACCTGTGTTTTCAGAGGAAACTCTCGCTTGAATCCATATAGATGCAAATGAGGTTGCTGGCAATTCTCGCGGTGGTACGCGCTAGCAATTACGCCACATCCGGTTTTGCCGCTAATCCTGCTCTTTTTTCTGCGAGTCTTAAATGAAAATCGAACTTTTTCTTTTTCATTAGATGTAAAACCAACAAATTTCTAGAATTATATTTTTAGAAGTAACCAATTGAAATAATGCTTAGTAGTTAGCGAGAAAAAAGTAATCTGTTATATTCTCATAGACAAAATTATCGGGTATTTTAAAATTTTTAGAATTTTTGGTTCAAAAAAATTAATATTGATTAATGAAACTATTTCAGTACTTTGTACTAGTATCAGAACAATGCTTCTATAATTTCCAACAATCGTTTGTTTCTTTCCCTATCCACCTAATCATTTTGGTATTAACTTTATCTGTTTACTAACTTTTCCTACTTTTATTCTACTTATTGGTTCTTCTAATGCTTCAGTTCTTATTTCTTCTATTTCGTATTCGTTTGCTTCTATATTTTTTTATATCTCCTTCTTTCTAGCACTTTTCTCTTCATATTATTCTGTTCTGGTTCTTAAACGAACTTTATAAGGAATTAATAAACTCTGAGTGTTGTTTTCCAATAAACCTTAATCTTTTAATATTTTCAAATAATATGGAAATTCTTCATTGCATTTACAAACATGTTAAAATATGTAAATACAAGTTGTAAATAGTATATAGGCATAATCTGGTTTGAAAAAAAGTGGTAATTTTTTAGGGAAAAAATCTGTTTATTATCTCTTATTTCTCTGAGTTCTTTTGTTTTCTGTTCTCTTAGACTTGGACTACTTTTTTTTTCAGAAAGTTCTGTCGGCTCTATAATTTTGGTTTGGTGATTTACAGACCTTCTTTTAACTCTTTTTTTCTTCTCTTATTCGTTATTTTACTACTGTTCATTGTTTTTGATATTGTTCTTGTCTTGTTCTGCTCGTGTATTATTACATTTTTTCCCTTATTTTTCTGTATGTACCATAATTTCATCTTTTTGCTTACTTTTTTATTGATAATTGCCACATGCCTATTCTGCCTTTCATTATTATTACTTAATTGTTTTTCCGTTTTTCTTGCATTTTCTTTACATTTTCTTTTTTTCTGCAATTGTAAATTTTTTATTAGTTTATTCTAAGTATGTCCTTTACTTAATCTCATCTTTTAGTCTTTTTATTGTTGTTTCGGTGTATTCCATATGTTCTTGCTGTACTGGTGTTTTGCCATGTCATTTTTCTCAGTACCAGTCTGTGATAAATTTCGATTTCCCCTCTATTTTTCGTCCAAATTTGTTTTTTATTTTGTTTCATTTATTTTGTACTGCTTGCTGGGTTACATGTTCATAGATTCTTTGTCTGGCAGAACCAAATCATTTAATTACATTTATGTTTATTATCTCTTCGCCCTGTCTTCCCATGCATACAAGTCTTTTGTTTTCCTCTTGCCTTATCCTTGCGTTCCATCAGCAGTATTCTTTCACATTTTTTTTCTTCTGCTCCTTCTATTGGTGCATATATTTCCATGTTATGTACCATTTGTCAACACTGTTGCCGAAAATCTACATAGTTAAACTCCCGACCAGTTATATAAGCCGACGTTATTTAGCATATTTACCTGTTAAATTCTCAGTAATATTATTTTCTTACATCAACATTTTTATTTTTTATTTCCTTTTCTGATACTCCTCTATAATCGATGCATTATCGATATTTATTGGGCCATAAATACTAACACGTATTCAATCCTTTTGATACAGAAAGCGTCAAATGTGCCTAACCCTTTCTAGGGATACCGCGAGCCGTACCTGTCATGGCACCTGCTACTGAGTCTGTGTCTGTCGTTGCTAGACGGTGCGACCTATCTATTTTTGCTCGGGCTCCAATTTGTGTTGGGTAGCTCTTTTAGACGATATACTCAGTAAAACTCAGGTTTAATTTAAATAAAAATATATTCTAAACAAATAAAATAACCAAATAAAATTGTATGGAGATATGTACAGAATAATTAGTACAGAAAATTCAAGCGTTAATCCGGGGTACGGCCGTTTATATGACTAGGTGACCCACTGTTAATACGTACGAAAATAAATACCTGCGTGTTAATACTTACGCGGCGAAGTCGGAGAGGACGGGTCAAAGGAATAGAGATAGGGGGGCAATCAACACTCGGTCCGGCGAGGAGCGGACCGAGTGTTGATACGTGTTTTATACGAAATAATGGAAGAGGCCTTCCATCTCCTCTAGCGCACATCGATGGAAGAGAAACTTGTGATTGAAACTTGTGCGTGTGTACGGAGCTCTGACGGGACTGAGGCGATGCACATGATTACAATAATATGTAGTAGATTAAGAAAAATTTGGTGATTGGAAGAGACCAAGATATGATCGAGATATTACGCAGATAGTATCGTAACGTCTCAACCAGTCCCATTATATGCCCAGCGTAAAATAATCCCTTCGGTACTATTCTCACGTCGTCTGTTCATTTGTTCGTAATTATCAAATATAATAAATAAACATTGTTTCCCTTTGTTTTTTTTTTATGTACTTGTTAGGGCTTCTATATGTTTTGTTTGGGAGTAAATTATATCTATATGATTTATTTTAGGACATACAAGACTCTCTGGCCACCACAACGTTCAACGGCACCTCCAAGCGTACGTTCTCCCCCAACTTAGATGACGATTCTTCAAGTAAATCGCCAAACGACGGTGGAGGGCAACTCAACAAGATGAAGCACATGGGTCAGCTGTGGCTAGCAGCTGAGGTTCGAGCACTAGAAAATAGAGTGGGCGCCGGCAAAACCACCGCACTTTCTCCTTATTTGGTGTTAGACGCCGATGCGCTGATCAAATACACGTTCATGGTGAAGCAGTTGGTCCATTCTAGGAAATTTATTGTGTTGGTTCCTACAGCAGGTACGGTATTTTAATAGGCATGCCTAGTTTACAAAAAATATTGCTTCAGTAGTATAAAAAGAATCAACTTCTTAACATTAATTTAATATGTAATATCCTTTTAAGTCGTCTGATAAAAAAATTTCAATCATTTGAAATGTGAATGTTGTACATATTTTTGAAAACTATTTAGGCTATAGTAATAAGCTAGCTAGTTCACAAAAGACAAGCAAAGAAAAGATTGAAAAATTAAAGTACCAAGTTACGATTTTGGCCAGTTTAAGAGACTATTGTACATATTTTTAAAGATATCTTAAGCAGAAAATATTTACAACCTACCTAAAAGAAGATTTGATATATTTTTTAACCAAGCAATATCATCAAATTAAACGAAAAAAAGTGTAGAGTCCGGGCACGCCTGTAAATATTTGGGGCTTCCTTTTGTTGTCGGCAGTGTTTATATCTTTGGCGGTCATTCTATCTTTTTGTCATCTATTTTCAGGCATTCTCTGCAGGTGTCCATACCAGATTAATGTTTTTTTCTCCAATTGTGTCTGATTTCCTAGTTTAGTTTTTATTAATCTCTGAATATATTCGTTCCTCACCATATCAAGTCTAATGAGTCGGCAACTTAATTTTTAATTTGTTTCTTTGAATTATTTCCCGAGTTTGGCGCCGTACGTCTCAATACTTTCTATTATTGTTTTATAAATTCTTCAATGTGAGCAACTAACTACTCGGATTTTTGTATATTAATTATAAGGTCTCACATGGTGTACTACTATTCCAGTTTTTAAGGATACTTTCTATATCTCTCTCATTTTTCTATAATGGCTTGGTCCTCAGCAAAGTGTTTTGTATGCAAGCTCTTGTCTTCGACAAGGATGCTCATATTGCAGCAATTCCTTCTCCATATTGACAGCGCCCGTTCAAATAAATTTTGACCAGCGTAGGTAATATGCAGTAGCCTGGCTTTTGACCCTTGCTAATAAGCATTTCTTTTTAAATATATGAAATCCTCCTCTGTAAATCCTTAAAAACTAAAAATTTGCTACAATGTCACCTCCAAATATTTATAGCGGCCCTGGAACCTCCGACACACTTTTAAAGTTAATTTGATATTAAAAAACAAAATTACTAAAAAAGCACTTAATTAAACCACATATTTTTTTTCGCTTGTCAAAACACCGTCGTAATACATGAATTTGGACTCCCTCTAGTAAAGTAAAGCTAGAATTATCGAAGGTGAAATTATGACCAATATTCCTGGCATTGATTAAATGTTAATGCCATTCATTTGTAGAGCTTTTTTTGAGGGGTTTGAAAAAGGAGTTAACATATGTGCTACCGACGACGGTCGAGTCCAAAAATCATCTGCGCTGGCCATAATTTACGAATATTTATTAAAATGTTGACGATTTACGATCTCATTAAGCTTTTCACTGCGGCTAGCTATAAAAGTATTATGGTCTCCAGTACGGCCTGTGCTGATGTCCACGATCTCTTGGACAGAGCACGTGATCAACATGAAAACGATGATGACTGAGAAAGAACTTCTAAACTTTGGAAAAAACAGAAAAATTAGTTATCTAGGACATATTTGCAGAGGAAAAAAAGATAATTTCGTATGAAAAATAATGGAAGGGAAAGTGAAAGGAAAAGAATCCAGGAAGAAGAAAATACTTGTGACTGGAGAATGTAAGAGACTAGACAGACATGGACACTCGTTTGTTATTAAGAACATCCTTCAGTAATGGAGAAGGTACCTTAAGAATAAGATTAAAATTTTCCGCAGACGTTTAATTTCTCAAGACTATGTGACAAGGGAGAGACGCTAAGGCATCTCCTTGTTCAATAGTGTTGACTGCAGATAACTTTATGGATTATATTTTTAGCCTTCAATAATAGTCTTATTATTTTGCCTGGGATGACTTCATACAGTTTACTTCTAGTACGCAATCATAAGCTGATTTAAAATCGATGAAAAACTGATACATAAATAGATATTGCAAAATGCCAATAACTGTTGACAGCTACTATCAAGCATTGTAAGCTGCTGCGAATTGTTACAAAATGGATGCTCAACTGCTACTAATCTTTATGCATTCTCAAATTTCCAACTTAATTTATACAAACTGTTACTTACTTTTTTTGACTGTTGCTATAACATGCATACAACTAACAGATTTAAAGTACTAGTGTCTTTGGCAGGCTGTTGTCAACGTGCATCGTTGCCCTCAAGTGGGTAAACTGTTTTTGCTTTTTTTTAAGTTCTTAAAGTTTGACAGTTTCCAAATTAAAAACATAAAGTTTACCGAGATAGTTGCAAAATACCCTTATTTTTGGAGTAATTTATAAATGTGCATAACTTTGTTTTTGGCATAATGACATTTAATATAACTACTCAAAATTGTAAAACTCCTAAATTAGTAACAGAAAGCTTGCCAAGGGACTGTTCACTAACGGCTGAGACTCGGGGTTTACCAGCAGATGCATTAGTAGCACTAAACAAAAGCGCTTGTCCGCTTAGTTCCGCAATAGAACAAACTTCACGCTGATTACGTTCCATTTCACGATCTAAATATCCCGCACTAAAACAAAATTTACAATTACTGTGCTTCTGTATTCTCAGATATCAGACAATATAGTAAGTTTATTTTGATAATAAACTGGTAATAGGTTCCCTTAATTCACTAGTAATATTTTATTAGAGAATAGTGTACTTACTTTACTTGAAAACCATTTATAAGTATTTATAATTGTACCGATACAGTAATTTTTGTAGAACTAATTAATTAGTAAAATAAATTTATTTATTGTTTTCAAATTGTTCATCAAAATCTCAGTTTATTAGTTGCTATAACTTTCTCCATTTTTAATTAACTGAATATACGATGACATGTCATATTTGAATGTTTTGTATCTTTTAATAGAAATGTTAACCTTTTTGAATTAATTTGTGGTCAACTACCTCAATAAAATTCGCTCGTTAGTGATACAGTAACAAGCGAATAATTTCTTTTTCTTCTTAATTTAGGACTCAGTTCTTTTCATTCATACAACTTAGTCTTGTAACTATGATATACAGCTCTCGTACCATCGTTTTGAAAGTCTCTCAGGTGGTCTCGATATATTGGGCTTTTCAGACAATTTTTGTGAGCCTCTCATCGTTCATTTTGCTGATGTGGTCTCTCCTCTCCCTGCGTCTTTGTCTAGTTCATCTTACGATATCCCGGAGAGCATTGTTACCTCTTACAAATTGATTCCTTTTTCAGCCTCGAAGTATGTACACTCGAAGAGTATAACCGGCAATGGATTTCAGCGTTCTCATTTCAGTTGTACTTCGAAGCTTCTTGGTTACAGCTTTTTTCCACTCTGGTCTCGATTGCATAGGTCATTACTGGTCTTACGCAGGTCTTATATATTTTCACTTTATTTCCTATGCTTGGTCCTCCAGATAATGTGGCGTAGGTATCTAGATATCATTTCTGCTCTGACTTTCTCCTTGAGGTTTCTGATACTGGTAATGTTGACTCCTAGATATTTAAAGTTCATAACTTGCTCAACACTTTGGTTGTTTGCCGCTAATTTATATCTTTTAGGTTCTCTGTTAATCGTAAGTGAATGTGTCTTTTCAATAGATATAACCATATTAAACATTTCTGCAATGTTTTGGAACTTGTATTGTAATGGTTGTAGGTTTATTAAAGTAAACTGTTAATTATGGGTGCCAAAATCTATAAATAATCTCTTAACAATGTATTCACAACTACATAACGTTTTACGTAGCCTCCGAGTCTGTCGCTGTTGTTCTACCGATTCATTCATGAATTTTCATTGCTGCAGATTACACGTCACCATTCTTTGCTGCTTTCTATTTTTTAGTTTTTTAGTTTTTTTAGTTTTTCATTATTTTTATTCAGTAGATAGTTTTTCACCTGTTGCTATTGATTTTTGAGATCCATTTTCATTATTTTTGTGCTATTTTGTGTTATTTTTATGAAAGGTGCTTCATTCAATTGGGAGAAAAAAAAATGTAATTTTATTCTTAAAAGAATTCATAAGTAAAATTGAAACAATTTGTCTAAAAGCTTTGAGTGTAAAATAATAATATACCTTTCTCTGTTTTCAGTTGTGTCGGCGTTGGATGATCTAAAACGAGAAAAGATAGAAGCAAGGGACGCCATCAGATGGCTCGAGTCCCAGTTCCACCGCGGCAACCGTTTCTTTCGCGCCCAGCGCCCTCAAGAACGAGCTCCCATTCCTTTCATCAAATACCCCAAGAAGAAAGACAAAGAGATGCACATCTATATCCAGATAATCGAATGTTGCCATTTTCTCGCCGAGCAGCAAAAGGGCGCGTCAAACGTCGTCACGCTGCTCATTGGAAACCAAAACGTACTATCGAATGGCGAAAACAAAGAATTTAGTTACGTCGGATTGGCGCAGTCAGTAGGAATCGCCATCGAATCCATCACTAGTTTCTACGGAAAATGGAAGAAGACCAAGGGCAAAAGGTGATGGGACTGTCTACAAGAATGACACTGGACTCAGATTTGATAGGAAAAAGGCGAAGGCGTGTAGGGAAAACCATCGCAAATGCAGCCAAGGCGTGTATCTTATCTTTGGATTTATTTAATACTAATGAGAATTTTATACTGTGGGATTTTAACAATCTTAATATTATTTTTGGGCGTAATTCATATTATATTGTTCCCGTGTAGTTCTTTTGTTTTAATTTAATAATTAAACGATCAAATTGAGTATCATACACAATGTGTTATTTTTTCTTTGAAGAATATCGTTTTCATAATAAAAAAATCACCATTCCTTATAGAAAAATTAAATGAGGAATTTGGAAGTTTCATCCTGTATTATCTGATAAAAGGCTTAGATAACAGATGGGTTAGAAATAATCAAAACTAAGCCAAAAATAGTGCACAAATCATTTATAACGACAGTTCTAGAAAAATTTTGATTTAGAAGTTACTAATAGATTTGCGAACAAGGACATAATACTGAAGGAATGGACTGAAGCAACGGCTAAATCCAATGCATAAAAAAGGTGACAAAAGCATTTTACGATTAAAAGGTATTGTACTGTTGAATATAGCATTTAAAATATTTGTGTGCAGGGTTATCCATTTTTGTGACAAAGTCCGTTATTACAGAAGGTACCAAAAAAAGTTATTAACAAAAATAGGAGATAGATGGAAGCTTTACATTTTAAAATTAATTACAAATTACAGGATCTTCCATAACAATGTACCGTTTCAAAGATGTTTTATTTAAAATCAATTATAACGTTACAATAATACACATACTATGCGGTCCATATGTATGGAATAAATTCGTTTTTAGCGATATTATGTACTCTCTGAAAAAATACTGAACCGGGTCGATTTTTATTCTTAAATTGACAATTTACAGTATGAAAATATTATTCCCATCCAGCACCCTCTTTGGATTATAAGCACCCCATCGAAAATTTTAAATAACAAAGGGGGTCGTGTGGCACTTTGTTAGAAAGGAATTTTAGTCCTTTATTCAGCAATATAAAGTTTTTCGAGTTTGTGCAATCATAACTGAGAAAATTGATTTTTACAATTAAATTAAATGTTCAACTTGACCACCATTATTCACTTCTTGACAATAACCGAAGCGATTTTGGAATTCTCGTACATTTTTTTATTACCTCAGGGGTTATTTTGTTAATTTCTTCCGTTATCCTAACTTTTAAATCAGCAATATTGTCTGGTCTATTAAAATATACTTTGGAAATAATCAGTGGCGGATCTAGAGGGGGGGCACGGGGGCACGTGCCCCCCCCCCAGACGAAATAAAAATACACTAGATAAAATAGGTTCAAAAATTCTTTTATGAAACATATTGTACCTGATTTAAATAATTTATTTCGGGAACATAAATGAATTAATTGGTTATATTACAATATAATATTATTACATAAAATAAAATAATATATTCTGTTCTACAGTCAAAATATCTGCTCATAGAATTGATTATAACCCAAGGATGGTAATAAAGATTAGAAATTTGACATCGGACTTCCGGTTTTAGTGTTATAAAAAGAAGTACCATTTAAAAGCCACCGAAATAGTATAAGCGATATATTATTCGACGTGCCGGAGCAAGATGAGAACAAATGTATACTTTTGGTTAAAAAGTTCTAATCGGAAGTGCTATATTATAGTCGCAGAAATAATACATGTGACATATCATTCGAGGCGTATTGAGAAGTCGAGCTTGAATCTTTAGTTCCGGTTTTTAAGTTATTTGCATTTAAACAATTATGAGCGAAAGTTTAGTAAAAATTACTCAAAATTAGTGAAATCATATATCAATCGACGCAAAGTTACACGAAGAGTTCAAATATAGACTTGCGGTTCTACTTTCGATCACTTTGGGTGAAAACCTAAGACTTACGAAGTCCTACGCAATTTTTTTCTCATTTAACCGACTATCTCTTACAGTTAGAGCTCCATTTTCCCGGCTTCTTTTGATTTCCCGGAAATGGGTAGTCGGTAATTTGGATTTCTGAGGAATTCTCGGTAATTAGGAAATTTAAAAACAAAAAGAAGATTGTTTTTTTAAATTTTTAGACACGTTCAAAAATTTAAAAGAAAATTCAAAATTTGTGAAATAAATTAATTTGAAATAATAGTTCTTAGTGCAGTGAGTAATTTTTTTTAAATGCCCGGTCAGCTGATTTGAATTGTCGTACAGCGCGACCACTTATTTAAAATGGCTCCGCCCACCGATGGACCGATGCGCTAGATCCTATCCCTGGTTGAGTTTGTTGAGTATATATCGTGACGATAGACGACACTGCGACAGTGTTGTGATCAGTGTTTATAAACGTGTTTGCTACGTGCCGTAACTGAAAACTCTAAAGAACAATAAAAACTAAGATTTTCTCGTTGTTACTCGTTTTATGTCAGTGTTGTGTTGTATAAAATGAGTTCTAGTGGAGGGAATAAAAGACAACTAGGCCTTGACTCCTTCTTTTCTAAAAAACCTAAGGTAAGTTCGATAAACATATTCATTTAGTTTTAGTTAACACTGCCTTCATTGCATTGGCTTACTGTTAAAAATATACTATTTTTTTATTTTAAAAGTTTGTAGTTTGCACTAAAAGCTGTTTCTATTTTCTAATTTGTACTATTATAAAATGGCGACCATTTGTTGTTGTTGAAGCTTAATATCTTAAGGACATTAAGCAAAGATTTGCGTATTTTCTAAGCAAATAAAAAAGATTACTAAGATCAGATTACAAATAACTGAGAATATTAAGTTTTTATTAAAAAAATGCCAATCTTGTGATCTTGTGAGTATGCTAAATGTTCATGTAATGTTTATTGTATTTTCATTATTTTCAGGTGGACCATGCAGATTCTCAACCAGGAAATCAAATAACAGCTAACAGTAACATACCTGTTAAAGAAGCTCATGTATTTGGGGATAAGGAATCAGGAACAGATTGCTCTGCATCAGGATTAGGAGTCAGCTCTTCTAACTTATCTGTTCGCGATTTTGGTCGTCTTCTTAAAAATGGAGATATCACACCATCACTTCTAACAGATGAAGAGAAATATCAATGGATAAAAAACCCTTGGGTGCCATGTCAAAGTTTCATATTCCCAATGGTTTCTGAAGGCAAGAAAAACCGCTCTTTTCAGCAAAGCTGGTTAAAAACACATGAATGGCTAGTTTACAGCAAGCAATTACATGGTGGTCTATGCAAGTACTGTGTTATGTTTGGTCGTAGAGAAGGTGGGAATAATGATGTTAAATTGGGGAAGTTGGTTGTTGAACCAATGACTTCTTATAAAAAGGCCACCGAATTGCTGAAGAGTCATGCAAATACTGAATACCACAGCCGAAATGTGGTTGCATATCATAACTTTTGTTTGATTCATGAAGGAAAGATTAGCAATGTAGTAGCTTGTATGAATACAGCAGAAAGAAAAACGATCGAAGAGAACCGCAAAAAGCTGATTCCCATTATTAAGACAGTTATTTTATGTGGGGCACAAAATATACCACTTCGTGGCCACAGAGATGATGGTATAATTGATCTAAACACTGAGAGCTGCTTCGGGGAAGGTAATTTTCGGGCACTACTGCAATTCAGAGTTGATGCAGGGGATAAGGTTCTAGGCTCTCATTTAAAATTTTGTGGAAAGAATGCTAGTTACATAAGCAAAACAACTCAGAATGAGATAATTGAATGTTGTGGTGATGTGATCACTGACACGATCATATCTAAAATAAAAGAATCAAAGTTTTTTACTATTATGGCAGACGAAACGACAGATTTGTCGCTTAAAGAACAGCTAACCATCTGCATTAGATATTTCGACACTAAGAAATGCAACATTGAAGAAGATTTTATCAAGTTCGTTGATGTTATTGATCTAACTGGAGAGAACCTAGCAAACACTATTGTTCAAGAACTGAAAAAACTTAATGTTGATTTAGCTAACTGCCGTGGTCAAGCTTTTGACGGGTCGTCCAACATGAGTGGGGTTTTCAAAGGCGTACAAGCCCGAATTTCCCAGATCCAGCCTCTGGCAATGTACACTCACTGTGCCAATCACAGATTGAATCTGGCAATTAGTAAAGCTTGCTCTATTGCTAGCATTAGGAATACAATGGGAGTTATATCTTCCGTAGCAGTTTTCTTCCGTGATTCTCCAGCAAGATTTAAAATTTTGGAAAACGAAGTAAGGGAGAATCACAACCTGAAACCAGGAACTCATGGTCTGAAAAAACTCTGTGAAACAAGGTGGATTGAAAGACACGATGCTGTTCTGACTTTTGTGGAACACCTTCCTACACTCCCTGCTGCTCTAGAAAGAATTGCTAATTCTCCTCAAGGCAAGGGAAGCAATGCATTTGCTTTCATGCACTCTATCCTCTCATCCGAGTTTTTGGTCAGTGTGGTAGTGTTAGCTGAGGTCCTTGGAATAACCTTACCACTAGCACGTAAACTTCAAGCTGAGTACATGGACGTACTTAAAGCAACTGAGCTTGTAGAAGTCACTACAAAAAGCCTACAGGAAAGGAGAAACAACAGCACCGACACATTCAAGGAGTTATTCACTCAATCAACTAAGCTGGCGGAAGAAATGGGTACAGATATTCAGAAGCCCAGGACAACATCCCTTCAAAAAAACCGAGCAAATGTCCAGGCTGAAACGGTTGAAGAATATTATAGGATGACAATTTACATCCCATTTCTGGATTTTGTAATCAATGAACTGATGGCAAGATTTCCCAAAAATGAAATGGAATGTGTAGGTAAGCTACAACATCTTCTCTCACCAGATCTCAGTGATGGTCAAATAAGTGATATTCTTCAAGGAGCTCGTAAATATGAACATGATTTGCCGTGCTTCTCTGCTCTGAAAGGTGAGCTACAAATTTGGAAACACATGTGGTCCAATTCTGCAAAAGAAATGCCAAAACATCCTGCACAGGCATACAAGTTGGCCGAACCACTGCAAAATGTACAAGTTTTACTGCAGCTGCTGTGCACTCTTCCTGTGACGACAAGTACAGCTGAGCGAACCTTTTCTGCTTTGCGTCGTATGAAGACATACCTGCGAACGACCATGACGGAAGAGAGGCTTAATGGACTGGCATTACTCCATGTTCACCAAGACTTATCCAGTGAATTGAAAGCCGAAGAAGTCTTGGACGTGTACGCGAGGAAGCACAAGCGAAAGCTGTCTCTCAAGGTTTTATGAG